AGTCGCAGGAACCCAAAAATTGACATTATCTGCGACGGACCACAGACGAATACAGTGCCGCAGAACGTAGCATTTAGAGAATACCCGATCAGCAAAAATATCAGTGCTAAGTGTACACTTGAAACCACTTGGAATAGGGTTAAACAACTTCAGTCAGATCTGATTTGAGTCTCCCGTTTACATTTTTAGACTTCTTGTAATATAAAACACTGGAGTACTGTGTAATCCTTATGAAAATTTTTCAAAGAGTACGTACACTACGTCGTATTGAATACAGCATGTAAAATATGGTATATGTGTTAAATTGTTTTTGCAGCTCAGTTACCTAGGCACTTTGTTTTGAAACCAAACAAACCAATCCGTGTGCTTCAAGGGCAGAGTGGAGAAGTCACATGTGAAGCTGAAGGCCCTTCAGTTTCTACCCTGAAGTGGGAAAAGCAACAGGATGATAAATCGTATGCAGCCGTCCCCAAGAGCCAAGTTAAAGTCACTAAAGATACAAAGTATGTGAGAGCAACCCTGAAGATTACAAATGCGCAGTTCGCGGATACTGGTACATACAAATGCACGGTATCAGTTCCACCAAATCTATTAGATTATAAGCTGACAGCCATAAAGGTCAAAGGTAGGTTTGTTTTTGTCTGTTGGTTTATACTTTAGTGGGAGTTTACTTTCCAGTCAGAAAAAATTGCTTAATATTCATTTATCCTTACATCACCGACCTAACGCCGATAATGATAAAAAAGCTCTGGTGTAGAATTTCTGGTTGCAGGGGGCCAGAGGGATGGCAAAACTCAAAATCTATTTGGGACCGTTTTCGGACGTTTTGACCGGTCAAAGACTGTTTATTGGTCAAGTCTCTCTTATGATGGGTCAAAATATTAAAAACAACGCAATAACTTGAACGTACTAGCCTAACAAGCAAAACCATAAAGTGAAAAAGGTTGTTTGTCCTCTTGAAACGCAATCGTGTGAAAATGTTTTTTTTTTTCATTTTTTGGAAAAATGGTCATCATTGTTCGTTGACTGGCACTTATTTTGAACCCAGTGAATGGTTTGTATCTGGAGACATCCATGAAAACCGATTTTTTTTTCGATCTAACACCTGCAATGAATCTCTAACAAAATTACAGCTCCACTAAAGCAACTGGACGAAGGGGGAAGGGTGGTGGGGAGGGGCGTGGCAGGAGTGGCACTAGCATGTCCCGCACCATACGATTTTTTTCAATGTACTATATATCTAGTCGGATTTTAGAAAACTTGCCTTCCCAAATTTACAGCCATTTGATTGAAAAAGGCCAACAGACAAAATATTTGCTATTGACTTTATTTTTATTTAGATTATTTATTGCAAAGATCCCTGACATAAACAGAAACACTGGAGCTAGTGCTAGTCCGGTATTGATCAAAGTGAAACAAGGCTACATGCTGTGTGTGGTTTATACATATTGAATCTCTCCAGTCCCTAGTTATTTTACTGGCGAAAAGTCAAAGTATTCTGTTGTTGTTGTCTTTTTATGTTCTCTACGTGTAGGAATTCTAAAGTTCCTCCAAGATCCTCCACAACTCCAGGCATCTCACGTCGGCTGGAGCGTTGACTACAATTGCACAACAGATGACCCATATGCCACAGTGTCACTTCTACATTCTAGAGATTTTGGGCTTTCTTATAATGTGTTACAGGTCTCACCAAACAAACTTCTTTTGAGGAAACAAGTGTTCACCATAGTAAACCTTATTCTTTCGGATGGAGGAAACTATAAATGCAAGGCAACGGACCAGTCAGGTCAAACTATTGAATGGGACAGTGGTTCAATGTTATTTATACAAGCAGGTCTGTAAGAATATTATGAGTAAACTGGCACTCGTGAATAGCTAAAAGTACTTGAACAAAAGAGAAAAGAAGTTTGACACCACAAAAATTCAAATTTGAGAAATTATGGGTTTGGTCGGCATATTCAGAAAGAAGAAAATGACAAAAAGTCCCCTTGCGAATAATGAGCCTGTTAGTTCAAATTAGTTGGGATGATGGTGGGAGATAGCCGGGGCCAGTGTACTCCCTTTAAGAGCCCATACGGTCCCAAGGCTTTGCCCGAAAGTGGTTCCCTTTTACCGTCGTTACGTATACGGATGGGTGGGAATGACCGAATGAAAGATGCCGGGTTAAGACTGTTTTCAAAAGTATTTCTTTCTTTTCGAATTTCATAGATTGCAGATTTTTTTCTTTGGTTGTTTTGCTTTTCAAGCATCTTTTTATACACAGATCAAATTTTCTATCACGATTACCTCGATTTATACGGTTTTCAAGTAAAAGTAATGGAATACATTCAAAATGGTGGATTGTTCCTGTCGGTTATCTACGTAATAAATGACCTCGTCGTGACATCACTCAGTACTATTTTTCAAATCTTTAATTTGTTAGCTAACTTCTCGATATTATCAGACACCTTAATTTTATAAGTATTTTTCGTTTTATGGCCAATTTGAGGAGAATTTGGATTTTGCCAATAAATCAACAATATGACGTCATAATAACATCAAATTATGTCATTGTGTCAATCACATTATGCCTAGATGTTGGAAATGATGAGTGCATTATTCTGTGCAGTTTTTGTGGCTGCATCATGAGTGGTTTTGAAGGTATTAAGGAGGGTGGGGACTTCGAAGCTCCCCCTTAGTCGCAGGAATCCCAAAATTGACATTATCTGCGAAGGACCACAGACGAATACAGTGCCGTAGAACGTAGCATTTAGAGAAGACCTGATCAGCAAAAATATCAGTGCCAAGTGGACACTTGGAACCACTTGGAATAGGGTTAAATAACTTTAGTAAGATCTGGTTTGAGTAGCCCGTTTACATTTTTAGACTTCTTGTAATATAAAACACTGGAGTACAGTGTAATCCTTATGAAAATTTTTCAATGAGTACGTACACTACGTCGTATTGAATACAGCATGTAAAGTATGGTACATGTGTTATTTTTTTTTTTTTTGCAGCTCAGTTACCTAGGCACTTTGTTTTGAAACCAAACAAACCAATCCGTGTGCTTCAAGGGCAGAGTGGAGAAGTCACATGTGAAGCTGAAGGCCCTTCAGTTTCTACCCTGAAGTGGGAAAAGCAACAGGATGATAAATCATATGCAGCAGTCCCCAACAGCCAAGTTAACATCACTAAAGATGCAAACTATGTGAGAGCAACCCTGAAGATTACAAATGCGCAGTTCGCGGACACTGGTACATACAAATGCACAGTATCAGTTCCACCAAATCTATTAGATTATAAGGTGACAGCCGTAAAGGTCAAAGGTAGGTTTGTTTGTTTGTTTTTTGTATACATTTTAGTAAAAGTTCACTATCCAGTCAGAAAAAAGGCCTTATATTCATTTATCCTTGCAACACCAACCTAACGTCGCTAATTATCAAAATGCCCTGGTGTAGAATTTTGTGGTGGCAGATCACGGGGGCCAGAGGGATGGAAGGACTCAAAATTGACAAGTCAAAGACTGTTTCTCGGTCAAGTCTCTCTCGTGACGGATCAAAATGTTAAAAACAACGCAATAACTTGAACGTACAAGCCTAACAAGGAAAAGCATTAAAGTGAAAAAAGTTGTTTGTCCTCTTGAAACGGAATGGTGTGAACATGTTCTTTTTTCCTTTTTTTTGTTTTTGGAAAAACGGTCATCATTGTCCGTTAACGTGCAGTTAGTTTGGGAACAGTGGATGGTTTGTATAGGAAGACACCCTTGGAGACCGTTTTTAGTTTTTCTCATCCAAAAATTGCTTTGAATCCTTAACCAATTTTCGCTCCATAAAGTCGAAAAACTTCTCTAAAGGAAGGTGGAAGAGGCTAGGAGGGGGAGGAGGAGTGGCACTAACGTGTCCCGCACCATACGATTTTTTTAATATACTATATATCTAGCCTGATTTTTGAAAACTTGCCTTCCGAAATTTACAGCCATTTGATCAAAAAAAAGGGCAAAAGGCAACTTATTTTTCATTCACTCTGTTTTATTTTCAGGAACCCATGACTAGTTGCCTATTTCCCCCGTACAAGCCCTTGGAGTCAACCTTTTCCCGACTAGATTTGTAATTACGTAATTAATCCGAGTGAAAAGATAAATCAGAACGACGAAGTGACATTGCTATTGTTCTTTATCAAACAACAGAAAACAGTGCTGACAGGCCAATTATAAGCTTGTGAAACGTGACCTAAGCGACCCCTCAGAGAGTTTTTATCGTTTCTTTCTGACGGGCAGATCGTACTGTGAAAAAATTTTAAACTTTGACTGTTTAAATCTTAATTTGGGCTGCTTGTCACACAGTAAGAGCTATGAAGGTGATCTGTTCAATGCATATAGACTAATTATTTCCTGCATTTTTTTCACAGAGGGCCCACACACAGCACACAATCTGCTTGTGTAACCGATGTGATTTTATGGTAAATCGGGGGCACCCAACGACTGTTTTCTGCAAACTATCTTTCCACAGAAGTAAATAATGCCTAGAATTTTCTATTAGTACTTGAGGACAGCTAACAATTTCTAGACATGTACAATTTTCGAAGCTTATCTAGTAATAAATTGCCTACGATTTTCTGAAGTCTAATTTTTTACATTTTACAGCCCACATTAGGCTATCTTTCGCACATAAAAGGAAACCAGGAGCCGTAGGTATCGGCTCCTGAGGAAACCTAAAATTTTCGGATTCAAGACTGAAAAATAAACCCTCTTTCGTAATACGTTAAAATAATACTGAAGTGCTTCTAATTTCGAGAAGACTCAAGTTCCCCTAGCATGGCCGAACAGGTGCAAGTTTCATAGCGCCGCTTAGAGAGCATTCCTAGAGAACTCCGGAGAACCAAAAACTGAAGCGCTTCTAATCTCGAGAAGACTCAAGTTCCCCTAACATGGCCGAACAGGTGCAAGTTTCATAGCGCCGCTTAGAGAGCATTCCTAGAGAATTCCGGAGTACCAAAAACGTATTTTCAACGAACCGTCGTTGGGGGCCCCTGGGAAATGTACTGTATTTACCGTTTGCTTCATCTGTAGCGGTACATCGCTAAAAAGGGGCATGTATCAAAGGTAAATAAACGTTGTGTCACCTTACCTTCGGTAAATTGTCTTTCCTTTGCCTCAGAAGTGGTATTTTGATCGATTTTGAAGGATTTTGAGTTTGCTGTTTACTGTTCCTCTTAATACCTCTTTTTGTTTGAATATCGTTAACCAAATGGTTAAACTATAACTGATTTAAAGCAGACTTGGTAAATCGATTATTGCTTAACGATATCCAAGCAAAGAGGTAATCATCGGGACAGTTTCTGGCTGGCACGCGTAATAAAATAAAATCTTCCGCGCATTTTGACCGATTAAAAACTGTCGTATTTTAATTTTCTTCGAGGGCTAGCAACGGCCCTTTTGGATGGATTTTCGATCGGAAGGTACTAGAAGAAGCATGAATCAATCGAGCTTTCTGCTGGGTGGTTTGAAAGTGGAGCGATGCGATTTGCTGGGGGAAAATCGGTCCGGCGCTGGCGCCGTTCAAAAATTGATTTCACCCTTGTCCTTCTATTAAGAGGAACAGTAAACAGCGAACTGAAAACAGGGGCACCGAACGACTGTTTTCTGTAAAATATCTTCTCGGAGAAGTAAATATTGCCTAGAATTTTATTTTGCTTGAGTACAGCTAAAATTTTCATATTTTTTCGCGTGTAACCCTAAACGAGACCTTCACGGCTAAATGAGATGGCGTTTTGCCCAGAACACCCTAAGTGAGACCAAAATCCGAAATTTACACCCCTAAGCAAGACGATGAGTATCTCCACCCCAATAAGTTTAATAAGCAAAACAACAACTTCGCACGTGCATCACACTTTTTTGTACATTTCTTTCCCGCTTTAGCACGACTACGACGTGTAAATGCCTAATTTCGCGTTTTATAGAGGACGTAAACAAGCAACGACGAAATTTTATTTCTCTTTCCGAGCTTGAATATGGTCCCTTGAAATTCAGCTTCTGGAGGGTTTGCCTACATTTGACAAAGTAAGTGGTTAGGAATAATCGCTAAAAAGACTGAAAGAACGCAAATTCACTTTTTAAGCGACGTTCTTGTCGCCGTCGCGTCTTTGGATCTTGAAGTCCCTAATATATAGCTAGAGTCCGTAATAGCGGGAGTTTTGTTTCAGTCAAATGTCTGTAATTTTCGCCCGGGATTCAGCAGCTGTCCGTATTAGCTGGTTGTCCGTAATAGCGAGGAGTCCGCATGGCTTGAAGCTCCTCCATACGATACTCAAACCGCGATACGAACGACCAAAAATTCCTTAATTTTCTCTGACCTGTTTGATGAAGAGATTGCGGTCTGCTTTATTTCAGAAACAATAGGTTTCCTTCAATAGAGTCTAATTTCAACTCTACTTTTGGTTACCGTGAACTGACTTATCCCGGCAGCGCCACCCCGTTTTATACAGGGAGGCTGTACAGTACCGCAAGCGATCCCCAACTGCAAATGATCCCGAGACCGCAAATGATTCCCAAAATGGACCGCAAATGCTCCTCGACCGCAAGTGATCCCCAAAGTTGACCGCAAATGATCCCGAAAGAAAAATAGGAATGGCTTAGACTCGAGTTAGCGGATCATCGTGTCTATTTTATTATTATTACAAAAAGTAAGATTAAACGCTAAATTTCAGTTCTAAAATAAATACATGAATATAAACTAAATGAAAAAATCATTCAAGTGTAAAAACGAAGTCGGTAGGCAACACACGACTTTTACCTCATGCCAAAATGCTGCTTGTTCCAATGAATTTTCTCTCTGGCGGGTAGATTATACCTCTGAAGGAAAACGTTTTGTCTGAGCAAATGTGAGTTTTGCCGCTTATTTCATACTGAGAGGTCATGACACGCATTTTCGGCAGTTATTGTTGTTTCTGGTCGGCACGATTTGTCCTTTAATGCAAGAGCATTTCCTTTGACCTCTTTTCAAATGCAATGCTTTCATTCCGGCTAAATAAGGGTTTTAGGTTGTTTAATTTTCTTTTAAATGCCTCATGGATCCGAATAATTATAAGCGCCTTTTTTTTAGTCCGTGAATGTGACGGTTCCTACGATCTTTTGTCACTCGATAACTACCGCTTGCCTCGCTTTTGCGTTTCTCATTACCAGGTTTAGATTCTTGGTAACTGTCTCCAGCAAAGACACAACAAATGTATATACATATAAGCGTCAATATAACTATTTGCAACATGTTCATGAGCTGTAAGCAAGTTGCTCTTTCAAAATAAACCGAAACCTGTGGACGTTGATATGTTCGGGGGCATTTTGACGTGTATTTATTTCAAATTATGTCTTGTTTCGTAAAGGGCACTCCCAGACCTGGGACACTCCTAAGTTACGAACCAATGTCTTGCTGTTTATCACGTAAAATTAACACTTCAGAGAAAAATCAAAACTAAATATTCTGAAAATTAATTGGACACTTGTAAAAAGATCAGTCAAGTCAATAAAGCTCTTGCTATGTAGAGGGTGCTCGGCTTTGTATTCCTCAGTAGACAAGTTGAACTTGGGCGTTAAAATAATAGAATTTTTTCTGCGTAACGTCCTGCCTGTCTTAAATTTTCAGCGACGAAACAGTTCTTTAAAGAAAATTGAAGCAATTGACAATGGGAGAAGTATACGGTTGATACCATATCCTTTTCAGATTTATTCTACTTCTTTTTTTTGGCCTTGTATAAACTGACCTGAGACGAAGCGTCCTCCTTCCCTTTTTCTTTAGAAGGCGCGAGAAAAAGGTTCCTTTTTTTATAATCAGTCCTTTTTTGTAATCAGTCCATAAAATCCATTCCATTCCTCAAGTTTTCACGGGATCATTTGCGGTCAACTTTGGGGATCTCTTGCGGTCGAGGATCATTTACGGTCCATTTTGGGGATCATTTGCGGTTGGGGATCATTTGCGGTACTGTACAAGGCTCTGCACGCCCCGATATCCGGCAACAGCTTTCCTTTTATATTCCAATTTTTTGCAGAAACCTTTTCCCTTTCATATACTTCAACTCAAGAAATCCAGTACCCTTTTATATACCCAAAGCCTGAAAAGGATGCCGCTTTCGGGTGGAGCTAGCCTGTTACATAGCTCCAAGATAGAGAGGAAAGCGGATCGAGAAAAAGTTGCGCGAAAAACGCGTTGGGGCTGGGGAGATACAAAGTAGTGGAGCCTGTAAACGGCTTTTTAGGAAAGTGGCGGGGTAGTAAGCGGATTCAGAGAAACTGCAATGGGCCATTTCATTTTCAAAACGAGGCTAAGTGAAAAAACTTTGTTTTAAAAATGAATTTTATTTGCATGATATTTTCCCATTCCTCGTTCCCCATTCCTCGTTTTAGTAACACCCAGGCCTTGTGCGCTGAGGTGGCAAAGAAATATTTCATACAATACAGTGCACGGACAGAGTTGTTATTGTCTGCTCAATAAGCCAATCACCCTCTGAGTAGACGTTTCATTGACGATCGATCGAGATCATCTTCGTTATCGTCTCTAGCCTAACGTCCTAAGGGAACCCATTAACCCAGACCGAGCAACTCTCATTCTAGGTTATGTCACCGCCGTTTTCATGGATCAATGTATTTTTGGTCACATATAAAGTACTTTTTTCTGGTGAAAAAGAAACCTTTTTTTTTTTTAATTTTTTAACGAAGACTAGTGAGCAGCACAAAGGAAGACTTCTTGTAGTTGTAAGCTTTTTCGTTTATTTCCGACGCGTTTCGTCTCTTACTGAGACTTCTTCAGGGAATGAATACAACTAGCAAAGAACAGCATATATAACACGTTGTGTGCGTAAGTAAAACTTCCGGTGGAAGTGAATAATAACTTAACTATGCTGTAAACGGACGTTTCAAGAACGCCTTAATACATATGTTATTGCGTGTTGCTATATTTGTTTGGGGGCCATACGATTAGCGCTAATCGTATGGCCCCCAAACAAATATAACAACACGCAACAACATTCTATTAAAACGTTCTTGAAACGTCGTTAAGATAGTTAAGATATTCACTTCCACCGGAAGTTTTACTTACGCACACAACGTGTTATATATGCTGTTCTTTGCTAGTTGTATTCATTCCCTGAAGAAGTCTCAGTAAGAAACGAAACGCGTCGGAAATAAACGAAAAAGCTTACAACTACAAGAAGTCTTCCTTTGTGCTGCTCACTAGTCTTCGTTAAAAAAAAAAAAAAAAATGGTATGTGTGCGAATCCGAATGATTTATTTAATAAGTAAAACATCAAAACCTGCCATTTTAAGGTGAGTGTACCTTTTGCTGTCGATGTCAGTCTACTTTGCGGATTGATGGTCTAGCTAGATTCGCGTTAAAAAACTGTTGTGTGAAAACATCGTGACACAAATACATTGAGGAGGGTCCGAATGGGGTTAACCGATAGGCGTAAAACGGCCAAAAATTTAGTCGATAGCCGTAAAAATTAAAAAATTTTAACCGTTACCCGTAAATAGGGTAAAAAAGAGTTAACCGTAAACTTGTTTCCTAGATTTGTTAATTTTAAGGAAGGTGCTGAACTCACTTATGGCTAACCGGCTACTTTGACTCCGTACGCACGTTAGGCCAAGCGCGTTTTAGTTGTGACCGAGGTCTAAACTCCATTTCCACCGCTCCCTCGGAGAACTAATTTTTTACATAGCTAAAATCTGGATTTTTGCTGGGGATTAAAATTTGCAATTTTCAGGAGGCCGTTCCCTCGAAATAACCGCCTAGAGATGTCACTGTTTGTAAAACACGTTGCCGATAAACAACAATTCCCTGTTTTTCTCTGACACTAAGGTAGACATTGCCAACATTGCCATGCCTAGTCCCTGTTCGGTGTCTTCCCACGCAATCTCTTTGAAGGCATTTCGGTGGCGTATCTGAGAAAAAATCTCGCTCGGACCAGGTGACCTGAAACGCATTAGCCGCGCGGAATAATGAGGCCTATGGAGAAGGCAACGGCAGATAGTCTTTCTGTACAGTCCTTCGCTATCATTAAAAACACTGGACACGGGAATTTTGTTATTGGCCATTTTCAAACTAGAAATGGATTATCCGTCTGAGACTGGCCTGTGCACAGTCGCCCCCTCCCCCACAGACACCCCTTCTCCGATTTTTTTTTTCTGAGGGGAGGGGGCGGCTGTACACAGGCTATCTGAAATGGATAACCCATCTTCAAACTGTCCGTCAAAATTGACGGATAAAGTCACGTGGATTGTTCATTCAAAATTAAAACCCTTTCCATTTCAAATTAAGACGTATTACCTGTCTGACGCGATTTATCAAACGGATCACCCATGTCATACGAATAATCCGTCGCTAGTGTGAAAACAGCCATTTCCGTTATAATAAATCCCCTCCGCCCCCTTCCCATGCCTTGAGTTGGGCGTGTCTGCTTTTGCTTTTTTACAAAGATTATTTTTAAATTGACTATTGACATTTCTATGCGTAAAATAATATGAAGAATTGAATACTTTATAAATAGTATGATCTATCAAATGTTAAAATTTTTCAAAAGAATATCTTCATTTTATCCCGAGATGATCCTAAGACCTTTATTTTGCATTGAAGATACAAAAGAAATTAATCTATAACTTTTTGTTAACCGTAAGTGAAAAAAAATTAACCGATAGCCGTAAAAGAGTCAAAATTTTAGCCGATAACCGTAAAAGCCACCACCGCATTGAGACCCTCTTCCTTCCTTCGTACTTGTCGAGTATTGGTCCCATATCATACGAATCACTTGCTTTAACGCAAAGTAAATAGGGTGGGAGGCCAGCATTTTCCCTGAAGTACTTACAGTTTTCCTTTGCAGATTCAGTTTTAGACCGATGAAATGGCAATAGTTAAGAGAAATTTAGAATCACGTTAACTTCAAATTGTACCACGTGATTATGTTTGCCCTTTACTTGTCGCTAGTCATTATTTCTACACTGGAATAAGTTTTATGATGCTATGTTCATCCATCAGATTTATTTTGGAAAATTTATTTCGTAATCTGAGGAGTTGTCAACTTGAATCTCAGGTTTGCCGTTTGCCCTAAACGTGACTCTAATTTTCTCTAATAATTCCTCTAATATTTATCTGACAAATATTAGAATTAACCGAATTATTAATTATTATAGTTATATCCTCTGATAATTATTGAATCGTAAGGTCAAAGCGTTGTTGTAAAAAACTAACCGGCGCCTGCCACGAAGGCTATAGGCGGAGCGTCATTAACTTGCATACAAGCAATACAATTTTGACCAGAATACAAAGACCCCTTGGAAAACACTGTTTGTTTTTGTACGCTGTGTGGCCCAGTCTGACAAGCATGTTGATGAGGGTGCCCTTCTAAAGACAGCGGCAGGAGTAGATATGACATTGGCACAAAGTAAGAAAGATGAGACAATCACAACGTGTAGCTGGTGAAAAATATATATCGGTGGGACATAAATAGCCGGCAAAAACATCCGTTTCTCCACGCTCCTCGCCGCTGGGCACGTTTCGCGCGGAGGAACGTCTGCGACTCAGCGACAGAAATTCCATACTGATGACGCAAAATATGTTCAGAATCCGGTCAGAAGCCCTGATTGGTCGACGGAGTAGTTACATAGTTTTAGGTATTATTTACGAATGACCACAAAGGCCACAAAGGTCAAATGTAAACGCGATGAATCTCTAACAAAACAATCAATATTTGTGGAATATAGTCTTCTCTAGAACAAGGATTTGAGTTTTACTGGAGCTCGTTCGCAGATGAACACAACACTTTGCCCAAATCGACCAGGAGAAACCTAAAATTGAATAAATGTACATTTGAAACCCCATGACTACCAGATTTATTAAGTAAACATTGATTTGCGTCATCAGTATGGAATTTCTGTCGCTGTATCGCAGACGCGCGAAACGTGCCTAGCGGCGAAGAGCGTGGAGAAACGGATGTTTTCGAAGGCTAGGCATAAGGGGCCGACCATTTAACTCTTGGGGGTGGGGGTGGGTGATTTCTGGTCATCAGGAATTTTTTTTCCTAGCAATATGGTGGGCAGGATATTTTTTTCCCTTTTTTTTTCCATAAGCTCTCTATTACATTTGTGCTGCATGCAATTTTTTTCTTCCGACAAGCGCTTGCAGGAAATTTTTTTTCAAAATCACCCCCCCTCAAGAGTTACTGTGGTCGGCCCCTAAAGGGCAGGATTGTATCATGAACCTCCCCGGCACGCAGACGTTTTAGGTCCTGCCAGGAACGCGTGACGAACACCTAAGAAAGTCTGCATGTGAGAGGCTAGATTGTATGCTACGTTTTCGGTTAATAAAAATTTACCTTGTTTGTTACTTTAGGGATGCCATGAGTGTAATAGTCAAATTGTTTTTTTGTTCCGTGTCGTTTTTGTTTCTAGCTTTGTTAGGTCATTTTCAATGTGTTTATCATTAAGGGATATCGGCTTTCATGCAAAAAAGAGTGAAAAAACCAACTTCCTAGATAGGAAGTCTTAAGATTATAATCTTGTTTAGCAGAAAACAATCGTCTGGAAGGCGAGCGTCAAGGGAAACACTGAGAGCCTGAATATGATTCTTTTTTTTTCTATTTTTGTACAATTACCGTGTCCTTTATTGTCAGTTGACATCATAGGCTAATGCAATGAATCATTTTCCAGATGATTTCTGCAATGTAAGCTTGAATCAAACTAATGAGATGCGTCCTTGGGAGTAAACTAAAACTTGAATCACGGGGTATGAGAAGTTTATCTGCGTAAGTTAACAGAAGTTACGAAATACAATAACGAAAATGTGGCGCAGGGCTCACCCGGGTTTGACCTACGCAGCTTTAAAGACGGGAACTGGCTTCTAATTGGCTGCAGTTGACACACCTAGGCTCTATCGTCTCTTTAAATATGTTTTATTTGGAACAAGAATAACATAAAGAAAAGCACTCGAGTGCATGATCGTTGACTATTTTGTTCAAACAATGGCGATGCGGGAGCATTGCGACATTTGGCGAGGCTTAGTTTGGAGCGCCTTTTTTCATGCTTCATTTCTATTGATTACTCCAGGTATGTCCAACGCTCAGTAACTGAAATGAATTACTTTGCCACAGGCACTGTAACTTTTACCCTTGCGAGCACTAGTCCCGCATTGCTCAAAGCGAAACAAGGATGCAGTGTGTGGTTTATGTATCGATTCTTCTAAAAGTATTTTGTTGTTTTTGTTTTTGTTGTTGCTTTATCTTCTGTAGGTGTAGGAGCTCTGAAGTTTCTCCAGGATCCTCCATCAATCCAGGGATCTCATGTCGGCTGGAGCGTTGACTACAATTGCACAACAGATGACCCAAATGCCACAGTGTCACTTCTACAGTCTAATGATTTTGGGTTTTCTTATAATGTGATGCCAGTCACACCAAACAAACTTCTTTTGAGGAAACAAGTGTTTACCATAGTAAATCTTATTCTTTTGGATGGAGGAAACTATAAATGCAAGGCCACGGACCAGTCAGGTCAAACTATTGAATGGAACAGTGGTTCAATGTTATATATACAAGCAGGTCTGTAAGAATATTTTGAGTAAATTGTACTTGTATAAAACGATAGAGTAAAAAAGTTTGGTTTGATGTCACTAAAAATTCAAATTTGTGAAATTAAGGGATTCAGGTTGGCCACTCAGAAGGAAAACGATGAAAAAAGCCCTTCTCGGATAATTAGCCTGTTAGTTCAATTCATGAGGATGAAATAGTATACAACTATCCCCCGAAGGTGAATAAGTGGTGGATATATACGTACCGAGACGCAAATTCGCGAAGAGTCAAGATATTTGAATTTAGCGCTGTTCACCGACCCTGAGGGGAATAGTAGTTTTAGTATTACCAAAACAGTTGGATAAAACTGAAAAAAAAGTAACTTTGTGTAAATTACAGACGTCAACTTAGTAGGAACTTCGATTACAATTTACGAACATTTCGGAGATTTTGCCGAGCGCATTTGACGATTTTGTTGCAAATTCAGTATGAAAATCATTTTCTACCTACCAGTGAACACCGACAAGCCAAATTTCGTAGCTCTGTTGGTATTTTTTTGTACGAATGCTTCGTTTATCGCACAGGTACGTCTCCGGAATAGCCAAGAATATTCCGAGTTAAGGGGACCAATCGAAACGCGCGAAAATTGCTTTTTACTGAATACGATTTGGTAAATTCTAAAGGACCTCGCGAAGGACTTCGGGGGAACGCCAAGATAAGGCAACAGAGAAGAAAATTTATAAATCTAGAAATTTTAAGCACGCTGGCCCATATCGTTACCATCAGGCCACTTGGGACACACTGATGATCTTGTAAAAAAAAATATTATTAAAACCCTTTCCCCTAGCACTTCCGCCAGCGCGACCTGTATAAAGTTGATCGAGCCCTATTAAACACGAATTCAAAGGTATTTTGCGGAAGAATGACCGCTGTTTGGACAGTGAAAACCCAACGTAAACGCATTTCATGGCATTTAAAGAACGGAAGCCCTACTAAGCCGATACGGTATAAACTCGTCTGCGAGCGAAACGTGTTTTGTTACCGCGGTGTTCAGGAAAGCCAGGGAAAAGCGCGCGACGAGATTAGAAAGTCGCTACGCTCGGAATAACTTCAAGATCAGATTTCAGTTTTCCTGTTATCATTATTATTTTTGTCATACTTTTACACTGGAATTATATAAGTTATGAACATTTTGCAGAGCTGGCTACAGTACGTATTTAAGACACCATGTAAAGTACTGCACATATTTTTTTGCAGCTCAGTTACCCAAGCAGTTTGTGTTGATACCAAACAAATCAATCTATGTGCTGCAAGGGCAGAGTGGAGAAGTCACATGTGAAGCTGAAGGCCCTTCAGTTTCTACGCTAAAGTGGGAAAAGCAACAGGATGATAAATCATATGCAGCCGTCCCCAACAGCCAAGTTAACATCACTAAAGATGCAAACTATGTGAGAGCAACCCTGAAGATTACAAATGCACAGTTCGCGGACACTGGTACATACAAATGCACAGTATCAGTTCCACCAAATCTATCAGATTATAAGCGTACAAATATTACTGTCAAGGGTATGTTTGCATGTTTATTTGTTTACATTTTACCCGCACCATACGATTTTTAATTTTCAATATACTATATATTTAGCCGGAGTTTTAAAAACTTACCTTCAGAATTTTACTTTTGAGCCAGTTGATTGAAAAAAGGACCCAAAGGCGAGTTATTTTTTATTCACTTTATTCTACTTTATTACTGATTTATTACCTCTCTGTCTGCGCAGATGCCTGTTTGTGTTGTATTGAGTCTAATTAAGGAGAAAGAAAACGAAAGCGCGTGGTACGATGGGAAGGCGAAAGAGAGAGGCCTTTCCCTCTTCCCATCATCCGCCTCGCCCTCTCTATTTTTCCATTATTGCTTAGTATTTTCATTGGGATACCCAGAGGGAGCCTCTGCGGAGGAGAGAGATTCATTACTTTTTTGGTGTCCGACGAACCCGAAAAAAACGCTAACAAAGGAGAAGGAAAGGGGCAACCGAGAGATCGAGGAGAAAGAGAAATAGAGATTTTAAAAAATGAGGTTGCGCTCTAAACTTTTATATTAGATCAGGAGCCCATAACCATATGGGTTCCTGATTACATACTTTGGAGATATTTTTGACCGAAAAACATGACTGCCTGACGGATAAGGCGCGTTTTGGCGGTAACGGTTTTAAAAATGTACGACTTAAATGTAACAAAAATGTCCCAAGTGCAGGAAATAAATTTAAAGCAACCATCTTACCGTATTTATTCGATTAACCGCCCAGGGCGCTTATCAGATTTTTGGATTTTTAGAGTAGGTGCTTATTCGAGGCTGGACGCTTATTAAATTTTCACCATTCTCAGCAAGTGTAGTATGTTTATTTTGCAACAAAACAATAAATGGTGATGTGAAGTATGTGAAATAATTCATATTTGAACTGCGGTTGTAGATGAAAGTGAAGAATGATCATCGCAGTAAATTTTCCAATTTAAGCAATTGGAAAGAAGAAGCCTGAAAAAAAAATCAGGGCTTCAACGGGATTCGAACCCGTGACCTCCGCGTTGCCGGTGCGTTGCTCTACCAACTGAGCTGTGAAGCCACACATTGGGAGCGAGGTCAACGCACAACGCACCGGCAACGCGGAGGTCACGGGTTCGAATCCCGTTGAAGCCCTGATTTTTTTTCAGGCTTCTTCTTTCCAATTGCTTAAATTGGAAAATTTACTGCGATGATCATTCTTCACTTTCAAAACAATAAATGGTAATAACAAAATGCGAAGATGTAACAAAGCAAGGTTTCTGTAAAATACTCTGAAGAAAACTCCGTCTTCGGGAGGGTCTCTTATTATCTCTTATTTTAGTTTGTGTGGTAGGGAGTGGGGTTGGGGTGGGGGTGGGGGTGGGCGCTTATTTGAGGCTGAGCGTTTATTAACGTTTTCTGCTTTTAGGATGGGCGCTCATTCGAGGTGGGCGCTAATTCGCGACTGGGCGCTTATTCGAGTAAATACGGTAGTCGCCTGATGGTATTTAAACCCATGATTTCCCATGTAACGTTCCATCTTTACACCAACAGTGCAGCTCCTCCATACGATACATAAGCCGCAAAAAGGACCGAAACATTCCTTGATTTTCTCTGAGCTGTTTGATGAAGGGACTGCGGTCGAAAATCCGCTTTATATCAGAAACAATAGGTTTAGCGGATCGAGAAAAAGTTGCGCGAAAGACGCGTTAGTGCAAGAGAGATACAAAGTAGTGGAGCCTGTAAACGGCTTATCAAGAAAGTGGTGGGGTAGTAGACAGATTCAGGTATTTGGCTCTCCCCTTCTCTTTTCCCGCCTTTTTTCGCTTATTTACTATTTCATTGTTTGCTCGCTACTTTCGCTCGTCCGCACTAACCGAGGGCCCGTATAGGCCATCACAGGGAGAATCCAGTAGGGGTTTTCAATGTGCGAAAAGAAAAAATGGATTTGCACAAATTTCCTCTTGACAAATATGAAGCAAAAATAAAAAATAAGGAGGATTAAATTTAGAGCAAACACGGTAAATGTAATTTTTGCGTGCTTATTTTCACCCCGTGTGAATTGGTATAGAAGTGTAGCATTTACTATATTGAATGTATGTTATGTTCTTATAGTCTGTGATTCTGTTTACAGCTCCTACACCACCAAGGATCACTGTACCCCACGATGCAAAAACCATAGTTGTGCAGGAAGGATCGACAAAGGTCCTCAAATGTGTAGCAAGGGGAGCTCCTAAACCTAACGTTACCTGGTACAAAAACGGCAAGCAACTACACACCAATGATCGAAGTTGCAAGGCTATTCAGGCATATAAGGTTTATGATGAAAACGAAGATAATTCACTGTATACGGTTCAAGTTCTTAGAATAAGAAGTGTTTTATATCCAAGAGACCAAGGAGAGTTTAAGTGTGTCGCATCGAATGACGTTACAGATGTTCAAACAGTTTTTAATGTTCAAGTTCAAGGTGAGTTTCAGCTTGGGTTTTTCAAATTAAACATTCGTGATTTCTCTAGAAGAAAGACAAAACTTCAGCTTAAGTACAGTAAAAACCCATGGCTAAGAAGCTGGTTTTTAAGAAACCGTCAGGCTAAAATTTACCAGTTAAGCCGCTCTATACAAGAACCTGTTTAGCCTAAAATTTGGAACAGGTTCTGATCTTCTAAAATGTTTAATGGTGCCTTATTACTCCAACTGTAATTGTAATAATGCTATACAGGTTTTACCTAGGGAATGAGCTGAATACCACTACTCTAATACTCTAAGCTACTAGATATTTTTCTCTTCAGAAAATAAGAACCTATTCAAGAACCTAAATATTAGCCTAAATTTGTGCTAATTACCATTTATGTAAGAACCTATCAGTGCTAACTTGGGAAAATGCTGGTTCTTAGTCGCGGGTTTTTACTGTATCTAAAAAGTCGAAGGCACCCGGAATTTATTGGACAGGAGCAGTTTTTTAGTGCTTGTTTTTCCCTAGCTTTGATTATTGGACCCACAATTCATTGAGCAAACTGTTCTTGTCCAGGTTCTGTTGGGCGAAAAGTCACTCTTGTTATCACCAGTAGTAGCACATGACTAGGAGCCTCCATCTACATTAATTTCAGGAGTCGAACCCTTTTCCGAGTAGATTGATATTAAGTAGAACGGCTTGTTTCCCGCGAAAAGTGTCATATTTCCGCGAGTGTACTCATGGGCTCCCGTTATCATAAGTCGTTGTCAATTAAATTGTTTATCTGACATCCCTGACCTCAGAATAGTTTTAAGTCGTCTACTTGCATTCGCCCCATTAGAAACCAGAAGGAAACTGAAATGAGTTTACTTCACTCTCAAAGACCTCTAGGACTGTTCTTAGGGATAGAGAAAACAATAGGTCATTTCCGAGTTCCAAAAACTCTCACTTTCAAAACGAGGCTAAGTGCAAAACCTTGGTTGTGAAAATGAGTTTTATTTGCAAGAAAATAAAAAAACCATTTCATATCAATGATTTCCCACTTAGCTTCGCTCTGAAACATAGGGACTGGCTTAATTTAAGGCAATTTGGCCTATTGAGCAATAGCTGCCCGTCGCGTCCCCAGAAACGATCCCAAAAACAATTGTCCAGTTTCGAGTTCGCTATGACCGCTGAATTAAAGAAGTGAAGACGCATTTTTTACAGGCTTAGCCTCCATCTGAAGTAATATATTCACAAATTCCAACGAGAAAAAGACCTGTTTATTACTCTGTCTATTGTGTATATTCAAATTTACACTTACTTGCCGGAATTTCTGAATATTCAAATTAAAATTTTCTGTATATTCAAATTAAACACTTACTTGCCGGAATTTCTGAATATTTTACCCAGTTACGTAGAGGCTAACCCTGTATAAATGTGCCGTTAATGTTTGTATTCAGCGGTAATTTTTAATTCGAAACTGGACTATTGCTGGATGAATTTCGGCTTCAGCCCCCTTCTCGTCAGTCTTAAGTGACGAATTGACAAAATATCTTTTTGTTTGATACTCAGTTGATTTAGTAAAACGCCTGAAATTAAGACCACCAGAAAATATTAGTGTATTGCAAGGTCAAGAGGCAAGGATCAAATGTGACCTAGATGGTTCTTTAACGGCTAAGTTAGAATGGAAGAAGCAAACCATTTCAGGAGATGTACCTGTTCCCGACAGAATGGTTACTGTTGTTAAAGACAGCTCCAACAATCGAGCAAGAGCCATACTCAAGATTAAATTCGCTCAAATGGAAGACAGTGGCGTTTACAAGTGCGTATCATCGGCTTCTGGCAAGACCTATTTTAAGCTGGCCTATGTAACAGTGAGAGGTATTCTCCTTTTTCTTGGTTGTCGTACATTTATTTACTAGCCTGCGCGTGTACGATTTGATTGGGGAAAAAATTCCGGTCTTTTTTACGGTTATCATAGTGGTCGAATGAATTTCTATAGAGAAGCTACTCTGGTGGGGAAAAGCCCTTAACTGATTCATTTAGCTAACAAATCTGTCCTCTGGGTATCTGGTAACTGACCGCTAAAAGGAGAGTGGCCGCATTTTAAAAGAGGAGCCTACCCGCTTAAAAGTTGCTTTTTGTGCAATATAACCTTGGCGTGTCATCAAATTGTTTCCTGAGAAAAAAAAGGTTAAGAAAGTTTCTAAAGTTGAATAGGTAGGCACTGTATTTAAGTTCAAGAAGGAGAAAAAAATATACCGTCGAGTTTCCAAGTCCTAGCTAAGTCCTCTACAAAACATGGCATTAAGAGGAAAATTTTATGTCAAAGACCTTGCGCTCTCAGTATATGAATGTTACTTAACGGGGCACGGGAGTACGGGAAAATGTGAAATGGGAACCAAACATAGAATGCGTAATGAAGTTCCTCAGATAGGGCTAGGGTTTAAGTTTAATTTTATTCTCAGTTATATTTTCCCATTCCTCGTTTCCCCGTTCCTCGTTTTAGTA